CTCTCTCTCTCTCTAAAAATTGCGTTATACATAATAATAAAATCATAAAAGTATACAATAATTCAAATTAAATTCAAAATTGAAATACATGGAAATAATATAATAAACAATTCATCAGATTAATAATATTACTAAAATAAACACAATGAACACAGGTGTCTTCGTCTGGATTCGACGGTAAAAGTGGACATAGTTCGTCACTTGTTCCGAATGCACCTCTCTGTTGCTGAGAGTCTCTATGGCAGCACCTCTGTTGGCTGACTTCTTATAGTTACACAAATTCAGGGATATTAGAAGATCAGGTGATGTCTTCTTATTTCAAAAAGCACCTGCTAAAAGTTCAAAGTTCACTTTGCAGTTGATATAATGTGTCTTCTTCCTGTATGTTGACACACTTCTTTTCCTGCTAAAATTTCATTTCACATAACCACAAAAGTTCAGGTGGTTGAGTTCACTAAAGGTTGTATGACTCTAGGGTCATTGAAATCCTCTTTGAGGCAAAGTTCCTTTTCACCAAAGTATTGTTCATTTTAAAAGGTAGTATGTTAACAAATACATATCTCTATTAATGTCTCTCTCTCTCTTAATACTACTCTAAGTCTTACAATCTAGACTATTCTATACAATATTATGTCTATTCTAATCAATCACTTTAGTTTATCAATTTAAGTGGGGTGTACATTCCTTTAAATAAGCTTTTTGTTATTATTAGGAAAGGTACTTACAAGCTAAAGATATATGTAACTAAAATCGATCATTATATAATCAAATAAAAGTTCAATCCAATGAATGAAATGATCATCTCAAAAAGCTAATTAAAATTAAAGTCGATACAGTCGAACTAAAGTCGATATGTTCGAACAAAATGCTTCTTTGTCTGTGCTGAGGTTGAAGCTTGTTCAGTTGAGCTTTCAACAGGTTCTACTAATTCCGGTTCCTCTTCTTCTGTATTATTTCTGTGAGGAGTTTCTTGAAGTGAAATGTCTTGTTGTGACCTTCTCTTTATTCTCCTTTCAAATCTTTGTTTCCAACAAATATGCTTGACTATATAATATGTGCAGATAAGTAGGATTAATATTCCTATACTTCCAAGGATAATCCATATGTATGTGATTGGAATTGTTGGAGTGTTTAATATAAAAAGATCTTCATTTTCTGTCAATAATCTATCCAAATCTTTCTTCATTTGCTCGTATGATTTTTCTGCTACCTTAATGTCATCATCTGTTTGTTTCTTAGAATTCTCTTTATTCTTCTCAGGAGTCTCTGTAGGATTTATACTCTCTTGTAATTTCTCTAATTCCATCTTGGAAAATATTGTTTCAATTGGAGGTATAATAAACTTAGGACTGCTTCTTGTGTGAACAGTTGATCTCATGTGAAAATGTGAAGTGAGGATAATTCCAGGTAAGTATCCTATACATGTATTTGGCAATCTTATGATTCCAACATTATTCAATTTACTTATATTAGAAGGTAATGAATGCAAGTTATTTTGTTTAGCAGAACATTTCACTACTAATACTAATGTAGAGGGTGTAGAAAATACCCATGTTCCTTGCTTGTCTATTCTTCTAAAAATTGGATAAAATTCCTTTACAATTTCTTTGGAACAAAGTTCTGTTACCTTCTGATCATTTCCGATGTATAAAGAATATTCGCAGCTCTGATGTGGAGCTCGAAATATCGGAACGTCCGGTGAACAAACAGCAAACTGTGATATTTGGCAAACAGCCAATTCGTGATGACGTAACAACATGTACGATTGACGATCCATTGACAATGCTAAAATGGGATATTCAGTCTTAAAATATGCATAAGCTTTCAATACAGGAATATATGTAGGTAATCCCAAAATTTCGTAAGCATCGAAATATCCACTAGGCGTTTTCAATGGCATTTTTGCGAAAATTCTTAATTTTCCTGGAAGTGCGATAGCAACTGTAGTAATCCACTGGTAAAATTTAAAGAGAGTGTCAGCTTTGACTTGCTCTATCAATGAATAACCTTCCGGAAGTTGTGGTTGTATTTCTCGTAACGTACGATACATCACTTCCTTTGAGATAAAATACGAGCTTAATTTTCCTTGCTCTAAAACGTCAATAGCTTCTCTTAATTCAATTATTTGTGTATGAAATTCTTGCATCGCAAATTCTATATTTCTCATGATAATTTCAAATGCTAAATCATATCGATATATTTTTAGTAAGTTCTCGAAGGAATCTTGTCTTCTTGACAAATTATTTATTTTCTGTCTGTTGTTCTTACTTATTCTCAAAGTATCGTTTAGAAGAGTCGCTTGTGATTGTACTAAATGAATTATACCTTTATTAATACGTTTTATATTTGTAATTTCTCCATTTAAAACTTCTATATCTTCGGATGTAGCTGTGCCGAATAAAAACTTCAATGCTTTTCCTCCTACGTCGATTAATCCTCTTCTCTTTCTACTTTCTTTATCAAGTGTAACTAATCCCTTTAAATCATAATAGTCTCTTTTGTATTCCGAGAAAGATGATATAAGTATTTCGTATCCATTTGTAGGTAAGATCCGTCTTGCTTGATCGTTTCCTTTCTCATTTGATACTCGCTCTCTGTTTATGATTATGGCCTTTAAAGATTCAAGAGATTGTGTTAAAAACTCAACTTCTTGATCAAAATGATCGAAATCGAAATCATGGATCAATGTCCAATGGCTAGATGTCATCAAAAAGTTCTCTTTGTAAATGAAAATGACACCTTTCTCGAATTCGTTTACTTCTTGAGCTCTATAACTCCATTTTAAGTTGATCAAGATGCAAATTTGGAGGACGAATGTAATCGAGGACTTCATCTTTGTGTCTAATCTTATTATTGAAGAGTGTGAGCAAGCTTCCTTGAGAAATGAGCTTCGTCTTGTCTTTATAATTTCAGGAGAGCGTTCTCCACCTGTAGAAAATATTTTAATTGTTATAATATAAAGGGGAACTCCCTTATCTTCAGAATGTATATTATTTTCCTTTCTCGGATTTAGCTCACTAAATATGTATTTACAAACTCTATCATTGATTTAACTACTTCAATTAGTACTATTTAACATTATTTCTAAATCAACTTCATAAGCCCAACATTTTCGATGTTTCTTTGGGAAGAACTTGATCTACTAATGTGGAAAGTGATAATTCTCTAATTCTCTAGAAATTGCAACATTTTCCTTTTTTGGTTCTGTATAACGTATCTTCGCTTCTTTATAATTGCTTTAATTTTTCCATAGATGATTTAAACTAAGGATATACTATTAGCTTGAGAGGTGAGTTCAAGGTTTCGTAATTCCGTTATTTTATTTAATCTGCTACTAGTATTTCTTAATCGGGAAGGGAAGTAATAATGATGATTCAACAATATATCTGCATCGATAAGCGACTTCCTATTTAATTATTTCCTATTATTATTGGGTTTTTCCCATTTGTTTATCCCTCATAATTTTGTTCGGATCCATGAACGGATAGTTCTTATGTCTTTGAAACACAGCGATGGGTATTTTACTTTTATAAGCCTCCCTTTTTGTTTCAATTTCCTCCTTTTCATCATTAACCTTTATACTCTTTCCCGAAATAATTTTTAGTAACGAGATCAGTAGGCATATTAATTTGTAGAGATCCGCTATTATCTGACCTCTAGAGCGGCTTATTTCGGTTTTGCGGTCGTTTCTGGGTTCTACCTTATCTACCTTTATTTCCTCTCGTTTTGGAGCCGTTGATTTCTCTGAGACTTCTTTTTCTTTCCTAGTCTCTTGAAAAGTTTTCGTATTCTCATCTCGTTTCGTTTCCTCAATGGGATCGCTATAAGTTTTCTTCTTATTTTCTTGTTTAATCTTACGCCCTAACTTTTTATCCTTAGCCCTATTGTTTATTTCATCTTTAGTGGACTTGCGCTTAGCTTCCGCTTTTCTGATGGTCCCTAAATGCTTGTTCTTCCTTGAATGGAGTTTGCGGGGAGACACTCGAACACTGCGTAATACACTAGCTTCTGAATACTTCAAGTCGACTTCCTTACGATTTCTATTCATTTGATTTTGTCTGAATTTCTGCGTTTTACCTCGATAACTACTTCCGTTTTGTTTGATAATTTCTTTATCGATTTGCAATTCTCCTTTAAAATAATTTTTCCTTGGGGTTCGGGGAGAGCAAAAATGGACTTCCTTTCCACTTTCTAAAATTAATCTTTTATTTTCTCGATCTATCGTGATATTTCCCTCCATAAGGAAATCTTTACCTAATATACCATCACACGGTATAAGTTCTTTGGTATCAACTATTCTCGCAATTCTTTTAAATTTTAATCCCCTAAATTTAAATGTCGGCAGTGCTATGCCACTTAAGAGAACAGTTTTTCCCGGACTATTTTCCATTTCTAGCGGCTCAGTAATATGTACTGGAGCATTATTTTTTAGGATTCGTGCAATTCGTGTTGATAAGAGCGTATTTTTAGCCTCTTCATCGATTAGGACCTTTATAGGTATATTATTAACGTACACAAGTACAATAGGTTTAATTTCAGCACCAACAGTGTTTAACCTTCCTTTCCAAAAAGTTTTCTTCCATTTAGGATTTGTTGCTCCTTCTTTATACCTGGGACGTGTTTTTCTCTCCTTACGGAAATTCCTGGGGTGTCGCCTTCTTGATTCTTCTACGCTATTGATCACACTCCTCCAGTTATTTTTATATCTATTAGTTCTATTAGGCTCATCCCTATTCATTTTATCTAAATCATAACGAGTATTATTTCTATACGTCTCCCGACAGAAGCCGACTGTTTGTGGACGGTTTCCATTAGGAACTTGTTCTGTCGATCGGAAATATTTTGTATTTCGTCCTCTACCCTCATCCCTTTTCTCCTGGGATTGTCCTACAAATGTATTAAATTGATTTCTTACGTCCCCTATAGCCTTAACTACTTCTTCCATTTGTCTTTCGGGATCAGATTCAGTTTCCCTTAAAAATTCTCCTTCATTAACTGCTAATTCTTCTTCTTCTTTTATTACTTTTACCAGACCCCTAGGATGAGAAGTGAGGAGCTCTATATTCTCCTCATTTATTGCTATTTTCAGGGCTTGGTCGAAGGTCTCTGGTTCTCTGGACATAATCCTTTTTCTTATCCTTATGTCGACCCCATTCATAAATTGGACTTTCAACCTCTCGTCCAATTCTTTTTCTTTGACTCGTTTTATGACTTCTATTTCGGCTTCGTTCGCGCCTTCGTGTTCAATCTCAACCTCCTCGGCTAGGGCCTGGAGTCGTACGGCGTATGTCTGTACGTCCTCATCTCTGGCCTGGACGCACGCGTAGAATTTCTGGATTCAATATGGATAAGGGACCTTCTCAAAACGCTCTATCATTATTTTCTTAAATTCCTCATAATCCTCCACGTCTTTTACTCGCCGATCCTTACGTACGAGTTCCCGGGCAATGCCAGTCAATTTTAATTTAGCTACAGCTAACATCTGTGCCTTCGACCATGCTGCTACTCTAGTCACATCCGCTAACGTATCGAAAAATTCTGATACTTTTGGACCTTTCGCGTCCCCTGAGAAGACCGGTAAGAGGGAAATCATTCCACCTAGTCCGCCTAACGTTATTGGATTACCAGCTAACACAGCTCGCGGAGGTTCTTCTCTATCTCTATCCATCCTGATTTCTATCGTATAATTAACTTGAAACTATTTTATTTCAACTTATCAACTAGTTGCCTCTCAATCCGAATCAGATCCGCTTGTGAGAGGTTATTAGGGAATTTTTCTTTTTAGTTCGATAACCTCTCCTGCGACACCACTGTGAGAGTGTATTACGGATGTTTTTAGTTCGAAAAACCCCACACCTGACACCAGTGTGAAAGTAGCCAAGGACGCAGAGCTCAATCTACGCCACTTACGAGCACTAGTCGGTAAGACCAGTCCTCTAGGATGCAGATCACTAGATCTGATCTTAAATATTTCATAGGAGAGCGTAAACAAGGATAATCTGAACCGCGTAGTTCAGACGTTCGTCAGGTTCCCGACACCAGTTTGTCAATTTATCGATGCGCGGACAAACATGCGTATGCGATCTGATTCGGACTAAATTGAGGAGACATTCTTATAAAACAAAACAAGAGTAAATTTAATAAATCTCAAACAAACGAATACAAAAATTCAATTACAACCATTTAAGCGACAAACTAGAGGTTACGACCTTTTCTATGCTAATGCGCGTTCGAGAGAGAGCTCACAAAATGATTCTAAACATACGACCTGTTGGTTGTCGTCGTCTTCGTTTCTGTAGGTAGAGGACACCTTGTAAATAGAGTTCATAATACCTTCGTAAAGGAGATCAATTCGTGCACAAAATATAAAAAATATCACTTCTTCTAAGTGTAGACGCGGGACTTAGTCTGTCGGACTCCGTTTATGGGCGTTGGCCATCAGGAGGGAAACGTATGTGGAGTTTGTATGCTTCGGATCTGTCGAAGAACTCCCCGAATTCTGACTAATCTCCCCTTTTATTTCAAGATTTTGTCCAATCATCGTCCAGTAACTCTTTCGTGAGAACGGACAAAAGGGAGATGAACGAGGGGTAACCATTTCCCATCTGAGCAAGATTTTTAACCAGATACGGAAAAACAGAGGATGTTCTCTTCGATGAAAGGAAATAACATTTGTTATCTGGTTTTTCCCACGTCTAAAACAATATTTTTTTCACAAAAACGAAGTAATATTTCGTGTCGATATTTACACATATTTAATAAAGATTCACAAATTAGATCCAGGGCCTTTCGGATCTCACAATGTGCCAATGTATAAATTATGATACTAAAGCAAATCAGCTGGGACAGATGGTAGTACTTCCATCATCTTTTACTGGTGGACCAAGATACATGCACGAAAAAACGCAAGACGCCATGACCTATGTTAGACATTACGGTCGTCCCGACCTTTTTATTACTTTTACATGTAACCCACGCTGGAGTGACATAAATGAGCACTTACTTTCAGAACAAAAATCTCATGATCGATACGATATTATTTCGCGTGTCTTTCGATTAAAGGTAAAAAAGGTCATGGATTTGTTGATAAAAGGGAAAATATTCGGTGAAGTGAGATGCTATATGTATTCGACGGAATGGCAAAAGCGAGGTCTTCCGCATATTCATATACTTTTATGGCTTCAACATCGCATCACTCCGGATCAAATTGACAATATTATGTGTGCTGAAATACCTAACCCTGATCGTGATCCTGAGCTTTACGAAATTGTTAAAAGTAATATGATACATGGCCCCTGTGGAAGTTTAAACCGAAATTCTCCATGCATGAAAGATAATTCGTGCAGCAAACGTTATCCTAAGGCTCTTATTAAGGAAACTCAAACCGGTAATGATGGTTATCCGCAGTACAAGAGACGTTCTCTGGATGACGGTGGATTCTCTGTCAATATCAAGGGTGTTACAATAGATAATCGTTGGGTGGTTCCTTATAATCCAGTGCTATTAAAAACATGTAACGCTCACGTGAACGTAGAGTATTGCCATTCAGTGAAGTCAATCAAATACGTTTGCAAATATGTTAATAAAGGGTCAGATCAGGCTACGTTTACTTTAGAGAACGGGAAAGATGAAGTTACAACCTACGCAAGTGGTCGATATATAAGTTCAGCTGAAGCAGTTTGGCGAATCCTTGAATTCCCAATACATGAGCGTTTTCCTCCTGTAGTGTACCTTGCTGTCCATTTAGAAAATGGACAGAGAATTTATTTTAATGAGCAGAACTTGTGCGACAAATTGAGTAGTCCTCCTACAACTATACTCCTCTCCTTTTTCGATCTGTGTAACGTGGATGACTTTGCAAAAACATTGCTATACTCGAAAGTCCCTGCGTATTACGTTTGGAACAAGCGATCGTTTCAGAGAAGAAAGAGAGGAGTGAATGTTGAAGGATGGTCAGGGGTCAAAAAAGAACACGTTCTAGGTAGAGTTTATACTGTTCATCCAAACAATACAGAATGCTACCACCTTCGAATGCTTCTACATGAGATCAGAGGCCCAATTTCATTTGAAGCATTGAAAACTGTACATGGTCACTTACATCCCACTTTCCAATCCGCATGCAAGGCTCTAGGTCTACTAGAAGATGATCGGCATTTGGATTCAGCTCTTGAAGAGGCAGCACTTTGTCAAACACCGCATATGATTCGAGAGCTTTTTGCTATCATTTTATTGTTCTGCCAGGTTTCCGACCCCTTATGTCTTTGGGAAAAATACAAAGAATACCTTTCTTAAGACTTTAAAAAACAACTGGAAAGGCAAGGTGACGTGGATGTAGAGCACTCATCGGACCTAATATTTAACAAATGCCTGTCAGTATTAGAGGATGCCGTATTATCATTAGGCGGCCGTCCTCTTAAAGAGTATGGATTAATTCAGCCAATAACATCAATACATTTTGAAAATAGCGAGTACGTGAAGGAGACCAGTTACGATACAGTGGCCTTAGAAGACGCAGTAAGAAAAAGTGAAGCATCCTTGAATGACGAGCAACAGGAAGTTTACAATAAAATTATCACAAGTGTAGATGCAAATGACGGTCGAATATTCTTCTTAGACGCTCCAGGTGGAACTGGTAAAACCTTCCTTATTAATTTACTTTTGGCGAAAGTAAGAAGTACTCACGGCATTGCCCTGGCTGTGGCGTCGTCAGGCATAGCTGCTACATTACTCGAAGGTGGTCGAACTGCTCATGCTACTTTTAAGTTACCACTCAATTTAATCACTGCCGAGACTCCCATTTGCAACATCTCCAAACAAAGTAATTTTGCTGAAGTTTTAAAGAGTACAAAAATAATCGTGTGGGACGAAATAACGATGGCTCATAAAAGTGGTATTGAAGCCTTAAACAGATCACTAAGGGATATAAGGGGTAATACAAAATTAATGGGTGGCGTAACAGTTTTGCTGGCCGGAGACTTTCGGCAGACTCTACCAGTGGTGCCAAAAGGAACCAGAGCTGACGAAGTAAAGTCGTGCATTAAGAAATCTAATTTGTGGCCCCAGGTTAATATTCTTAAGCTCTCTAAAAATATGAGAGCACATTTGGCCGGGGATGACACTGCTGGTAGATTTTCAGATCTCCTTCTTAAAATCGGTAATGGTGATTTTCCATCGTTTGATGGAATGATAACCATCCCGGAAGAATTGTGCACAGTTGTTACTACGGTTCAAGAATTGCTGTCTAAAGTTTATCCAGACATTATTCATATACATGACAAGCCTATTGAATGGTTATGTGAGCGTGCCATACTTACTCCAAAGAACGATCAAGCAGCAGCTATCAACAATATCCTGCTCATGTCGTTTGAGGGCGAAGAAAGGGTCTATACTTCGATTGATACTGTGGTTAATACAGATGACGCTACTAATTACCCTGTAGAATTTTTAAATTCATTGAAACCGCCAGGTTTGCCTTATCATAAGCTTATTCTGCGTGTGGGCACTCCAATTATGTTGTTGCGAAATTTAAAACCACCAAAACTTTGTAACGGTACGAGACTGCAAGTGAAAGCGTTACATCGCAATATAGTGGAAGCCACTATATTAACTGGGTGTGCGAAAGGGGAAACTGTATTTATACCACGTATCCCATTAATACCTAATGATATCCTGTTCGAATTTAAACGATTACAGTTTCCCCTAAAAGTCTGCTTTGCCATGACAATAAACAAGTCTCAGGGGCAAACTCTCAAATTTGCAGGTATTGACTTGAGAGAACATTGCTTCTCTCATGGACAGTTTTATGTTGCTTGCTCACGAGTAAGTGAGCAAGCAATTATTATTCACGAGTAAGTAAATATTATTACTCATTAGGTAAAATAAATTATTAATTAGGTATTTACTTACTCGGTCTTATTTGAGTAGCCTACGTAAGTATTGTGTCCCTGATTATTTAAAGGATTTAATTATTTTCACATTAGAAATAATTTTTTTACAGTGAAAGAAAAGAACTTTTATCGACAAACAGATGGTATTTCGATGGGTTCTGTAATAGGACCAAAATTAGCAGAAATTTATATGCTGGATGTGAACATGATTTTATCAACGTTAAATGGAGTTATGTTTTTTGCAAGGTACGTCGATGATATTTTGATAGTGTACGATAGTACAGTAACAACAAACTTACAAATTTTGGAACAAGCTAATAAAATTAATTTGAATATTAAATTTACTCAAGAGCATGAATTACATAATCAATTAAGTTACCTAGATATAACAATTAAAAGATTTGAAGACCATTTGGAATACTGTAAATTTGAAAAACCGTGTAATACGAGAAAAGTAATTAATTATAGATCATACTGTCCTTTAAATCGAAAATATAATGTATATCTGATGGAAATAACAAAGATTTTTTCTACAACAACAAATATAGATAAACGAGAAAAAGAAATTGAAGATATTCATAAGAAATACATTTTAAATGGATATCCAAAAAGATTACTAAATGATTGGTTCCACAGATTCTTAAGAAACAGGTTTAAAGTTAAACGATGTCAAGAAATAATAAAGTATGTATACTTGATGGAAATAACAAAGATTTTTCCTAGAACAACAAACATAGATAAAAGAGAGAGAGAAATTGAAGATACAAAGAAATACATTTTAAATGGATATCCAAAAAGATTACTAAATGATTGGTTTCACAGATTTTTAAGAAACAGGTTTAAAGTTAAACGTTGTAAAGAAATAATAAAGTATGTATCATTTCCGTATATAAAAGGTATTTATGAAAAATATAATAACTTCTTTAATCATAAATGAATTAGATCTGCTTCGTCTTTAAATAACAGGTTATCAAATATGATAATCATCAGAAGTAATAAAAAAAGATTTATTAGAAGAAGAAGGTGTTGTTTATCGGATAGAGTGCACGTGTAACAACCCTAGTTTTAACGTCGGTGAAACAAAACGAAGATTAACAATCAGACTGTCGGAACATTTGGCTGCCGTAAGGTTAAAAATGAGTAATTCTTCTGTCTTCCAACATTGTAATAATAATAATTGCCAGATAAATACTAATAAATTACTCGTAAAAATTATTTTTCAGGAAAAAACCAATGTAAAGCGAAAGGTAAAAGAACAGTTCACTATAGTAATTATGCAGAGTTAACAGCGGAATGCTAGGAATTTTTTTTAATCATATAAGTGGCTCTTCATGACTGTTAGAACGTAGATTTTGTGCTGTAAGCCCCACTGAAGAGGCCGTAGGCGAAATGCATTTGGGAAGCTTGTTAGTAATAATGTAAATAAAAGATTTTTCTCTGCAAATTATTTTGTTTTTTTATATCTTTTTTAACTCCTTTTTTAAAAGTTTTATAGTACATTATTGGCTTGTTTTTAAAAAATTAAAAGTTATACATTATCCAAAAGTCAGAAGGGAAAGAAAAATATAATTCTTTCGTAATTTTACAATTTATGTAAGAAAACAAAAAAAGTAAACTATGACTTTACGCGTATTAAAAGATTATCTAAACTGGAATTATGTTTCTCGTTACCAAATACTTGATCAGCAATTTATTGACGATTTCCAAAATGAACTTTCATAGTGTTACATTTTAAAATATCAGAAAATAGACCGGGAATATATCATAAACAATAACCAGAAATTATTACTTCACTTACTAGTAGAAATGTGCCATGTTTTAGACAAAGTGAATGAGAAAACTGGAAAAGCTTAAATATGATAAACTAATTTAATCTATTAATGTAAAAATAAAAAAAATTCAAACATAATTTCGTTATGGCGTTATATTATTTCATACAATTGTTGTGTTTTAATTTTCTCAGATATTAAAACATATAATAATTAATATAGAATCTTTGTCTCATCGTTAAAATAAAATTAATTTAATTCAAAGTTAAAAAAATATTTTAATAATTAAACTTATTGTTAAAATAAAATTAATTTAATTTAAATTCAATAATTAATACGGCCTTATTGTTACAATAAAATTAAGATTTGTGATTGAAAAAGTAATTTTGTGCTCTGAAATAATTTCATTCAACAGATTTTTATTTGCAATTTTAATTTAATCGACATCTCAAATTAATTTTGTGATCAGTATGTGTCAAACCACTACTACTATTATTCATAAAATTAATTTACTCGAGAAATTTCTGATCTAAAAATAATTTATATCCTGAAAAATTAATTTTAAAATTATTACATGAAGAAATTTTTTGCTTTAGATAAACTGAAGGAAAAAGTGGAAACACTTAAATAAACTGTAATGTAAAAATAAAAACCTTTTCAAAATAATTTTAGTGTTATATTATTTCAATTGTCATGTACTTGAATATTAAGAGAAATAACCATCAAGAGANTATTATTACAAATTAGTACAACTTAATTTTATAATAAATTTAATAATTAAACGGAATATATTAAACTTATTGTTAAAATGAAATTAATTTAATTAAGATATATGATCAGAAAATTAATTTAATTTAAATTTGTGAACAGCATTTCTCATATTAGTAATTATAAAATTAATTTTGTGATTTGAAATAATTTCATTTGACAAATTTTTATTTGCAATTTTAATTTAATTGACATCTAAAATTAATTTTGTGATCAGTATGGCCCAAACCACTACTACTCATAAACGAAAAATTTCGGAGTGTTTAGAAAGATATTGTAATTGTTCAAGTTATTTAACTTGCCAAATTTTTTCTTTACTTTTGTAATTGCAGAAAAGAGGAAAGTAAAACTTTGTTCCTATGTATCAGTTTTCCAAGGAGAAGATTTTTATTTCTGCTGTTTATGATAAATTAGAGGTGCAACTTATTTCGTAAATCCTGTTATCGGGGAGCAGAGCAACAAATTGAATCCAGATTGGAGAAAATTGGAAAAATAAAAAGAGCAAAAGCCCAGTTTTGAGACTCTCATCTGTTGTTCGACTAAGATCGCTTTTGTAGATTCTGGCTCCTTTTCACTTTTATTTTTGATTAAAATACTGTTTGAAGGTTTTTTTCCAAAGATTTCTAAGTACTGTTAAGAGGTATTATGTAACATTTTGTAAACTGTCTTTCGACTCAGTATAAGTGTAGTTAATTAGATTTGATAGAACTTTAGAATTTCCTTATCGTATTGTGAGTGGAGATGTTAATCTTGTTTATCTTATAAGTCCTGCTTTCTTCCTGTCATTAAATTTTGTTTTTTAGTTAAATGGTTTTGCATAGAATTACTCTAGAGGAAGGTCAATCTATTGAACGCCTCCCCACTCGAACTATAGACTTCCTGTATGTATAAAACTGGAATATAATTTCTTTCACAGGCTAAACGCATATAATTTACCTTGTGTCAGGAATTCTGATAGAAGACAAAAATTTTGTGATCAATCTGTCTTCCTAATGTATCTACAAGTTTAACCCATTAACTGACAAGGTGAGCGGCTTTTAAATCTGACTTCACAGAGAGTTGACTCGAGATGATCTCATCACTGCAGATTCACACACGATGTTCCTAAATACAAACTTTTAATGACCATTCTTCCTCTGTAGGCTACATGACAGTCAAAATTAAAACCACTAAGATACACAAAAAAATTTCCAATTAAAAACACAAGTTTAAAAGTCAAAACTGGCAACACCATAGACATCTTTCCTTTTATCGTTACTGCTTGAAAAAGTTTTAATTTTGTTAACGCCAAGTAGCATACAGAAGGAGGTCAGTCATAAAAAGTTTATATTCTGGAACATTGAAATTGAATAAATGGTAATTTCTTTTTAAGCAGACTTTATCTTCAATTTTATTGGTAACATATATGTTTGAAAAATTATGAAAATTAAATTAGAAAAAGCTAAATCTAGGCCTGTCCAGTATTACTTATCCTTTGTGGTGTGTATGGTATAGCAATTGATGAAACCATTTTAAGAAATCATTAAAAAAGGGCGGTCTTAATCTGGAATTAGCAACGATAAGGTGAATACTAAAAAGGGGGTTATACAATTATTTAAGGCCAATAAATGTAGTAATATATAGTAGTTAGTAAAGTAAAAATTCAGCAATAAGTTGCTTAACCGTCTGTATGCCTGGTGAAGAAAATAATGCCGTGAGCTTGATGGGGTGCAGAAGACAGCGAAATAAAACGCATTATTATATGGCCTATTAAAAAAATATGAATATTATATTAATATATATGTATAATAGATTTATAAAGAAATATTTGAAATAAAGCAGACATTGCTTTACGTGAAATATTTATTCACACGACTACATAACAAAAAACTTTAACTTTTTTGTTATAAGAAAAATAAAAACTTTTATCTTTGGAAATCATGACGTAATCTAATCATAACTTAAGTATTTTGTCTTCATTTTAATTGTTACGGCTAACGGGAATCTTAGCCATCATCATCATCATCATCCATCTGGTTTATTAACGTAATATTAAAATTACGTATTCAGGTACCGCAATAAGCACATCCCGATTAAAATTGTTTACAAAATTACAAAGTTATGTTTTGAATACATCTAAGAATTGGTACAATCAATTAAGTTACAAATAATAAAATTCAAAATATTACAACACAATACATAAAACTGTATACAAGAAATGCTATACATAAAATTAAATACAAGACAAACATTAAAACGCATTGGTGTTACCTGAAGAAATACCTCACTAAATATATGATAAATTCTATACTATCAAAGTTACCTCGCATTCTTCAATTTGTAATCAAACAATTGTGTTATGTAAGGTCAATTCTATTTAAGTATTTTATCTAGTGATGTAACGAATAATCGGCCACTATTCGGTATTCGGCCTATTCGTCCTATTTTT